TGTGTAAATATGTGTCTCTGATGCATTTATTGGCGAGTTCTTGATTCTTATATTTGTCTTTTTTACAGTGCAAGGCCTGCGATTAAATAACAACCTTCTCGCAGCAGCTACAAACAAAAACGGGTCCATTCTTAACTTTGGCCAAAAACTGCTGCATCACAATATCAAATACCTCTCTATTTTTTTGCATTTGTTGCCTCTTCAATTTGTTGCTAGCTGTTACTCGCTTCTTATAATCTGGATTACCATGATACCTTTTTGAAGTCATGGATTTTACCTTCTTTCTATGCAATTTATTTTGCCTATATTTACGTTTGTTAAATGCCTATACTTTCTCTCTATGCAATTTTATTTTGACTATATTTACGTTTGCTAAATGCTATAACTTTCTCTCTATGCAATTTAATTTGACTATATTTACGTTTGCTAAATGCCTATAACTTTCTCTCTATGCAATTTAATTTTGCACTATATTTACGTTTTGCTAAATGCTATAACTTTCTCTCTATGCAATTTATTTTGACTATATTTACGTTTGCTAAATGCTATAACTTTCTCTCTATGTAAAACTTTTAGTCTATAGTTCCGTTTGCTTAATGCTATAACCCTTTCTCTATGCAGATCATCGTCATGATATTTTTTTAACCTATATTGTTTTACTTTCAACGGATTACTTTCATATATTCTTTTACTTGAATCCTTTATCATCTGATTATGCAATGGGTCTTCATGGTATCTAACCTGAGTATGTCCAATGGCTCTGTGTTTGAAATCTTCATCCTCGAAATACCTTTTTCTAAGACCGACTCTTACTATCTCTTGATAATCTGCATCACTATACTTTTTCATGGACGCATCCCTAATCGTTTGCTGGTACCCTGTGTTACTTTTATAATACCGTTTAATTTTTGAGCTGTATATCTTTTTTAAATATGTTGAATGCCTACGACTACAGCTGGCAACACTCTCTGCATTGTCTTTAACCCCACCCTTCCCAGTACAGATATCGACACTGCGACGCATAGACCGTGTCTCTGACAAACCCCCCACTTTACAAAATTCAAAGCACCTTTGTTCATCGTAAGGTTTGATACAAACCACTGGCTCAAAATGATTTTTATCACAATGTTTCAAGTATATTTTTTCTTTTGAAAGCATTGCACAATTACAAGTGTATTTGAGCCATTTTTCCCCACTGCAGATAAAAATGTCCACTCCAAGAGCATTTGCTGTCCCTTGGATTTCTACATCTGTGGCACAATGTCCTACATACTTCATCCGAGACTTCTCAATGTAGTCTGAAATTGAAGCAGATCCCCCAACTACTTTCGTTTGTTCTGCGTGATTCATCATATGCTTCACAACAGTCGTTCTAATCTTTCGATGGCTCTTCTGAGAACCACTGAGAACATGAGCTACCGCTCCGAAGAAACTATTAGCGTCCTCTTTAATTTTTTCGGTCTTACAGACCACACCTAGGGACCCAGTTACTGTAGGTCCCTGTACATCCTGCTTTTCAAAGTCTATATTACACTTTGTGCAAAGTGTTTTTGCCACTTCATTGCACAAAGGATTAAATTCAAGAGTGATTTTACTTACATCACTCTTTTCCACACAATCTGTGTCCCCAGCAGACGATGTACCATGCGTTTGTTCGGTAACCCTCCTTTTGCCTCTAGTTGTCCGTCTGACATTGTACAGTCTTGGACAAGAAGTGTCCACTTTGCAATACCCATAACAACTCTGCAAATTAGGTTGTTTTACACACACAACAGTCTCATAATGATTACCATTGCGGTTTTCCAAATAAACCCCCTGATTAGACATCTGCCCGTTCTCGCAACTATATTTTAGCCAGCGTGGATCACAATATGTGAATATATTAACTCCAAACGCATCTGCTGCTGCTTGAATTTCTAATTCTGTTGCCCAACTACCAACCTCCCGCATTTTGGATGTGCTGAGGTATTCTGACATGGAGGAGGTCAAAATACGCTCATAAGGCACAGCATTGCTCTGCATTTGATGAACCACTGCACGCCTAATTATTGTGTGATGCCTTTGTGTACCACACACAGCTTGACTCACTGCTCTAAAGAAACAGTTTCCGTCACCCTCTATTTTTTCATTGAGACATGGAGCCCCTATTAAACCAATTTGTGTAGACACAACATCTACTTTCTCTAACTGCACATGTAACTGCTCACAAAGAGCTTGTGCAAGTTGATGACTAAGAGGATTAAACTGCAGTCGTCCACTTCTTACTTCTTTGACAAAAGCAACGTCTGAATTATCTGCGGTAACATCACTCTTTTTTAATTTTTTGCAAGCAGAAGATCCCTTACGAATCTTACGCTTTGCACCCATCTGAATGTTGGTGCAGCCAAGTGTGGACTGAATAGTTGAACTACAACCCAAATCAGTCTCTGTCGTTTTGGGAGTCACTCTTGGACCCAAAGACAGATTACTGCTTTCAATTGGGCCTATGTGAGTGACTCGGACACCAGCGACCTCAAACAGTTTTTGAGACTCAGAAGATCCCTTTGGAATGTTATGCTTTGCACCCATCTGAATGTTGGTGGACTGAATAGCTGAACTACAACCCAAATCAGTCTCTGTCGTTTTGGGAGTCACTCTTGGACCCAAAGACAGATTACTGCTTTCAATTGGGCCTATGTGAGTGACTCGGACACCAGCGATCTCAAACTGTTTTTGAGACTTCTTGAGGAACGCTGCAAATGTCCATATGTATTCAAACACGTGTTCAAGGCCTCTGAAATACAGAACAACACTACGCCCCTCGCCATCGCTCATCCCAGACGCACTGCGTGCATGGGAGTCGACCACTGCGTAGTGTCCACCTTGACCAATGATGGCACATGTAGCGCCATTCATTGTCAGAAAGCATGTGTCATATTTACTACACATGCTTTCCAGTGCGTATTTTAAAGTGGTGTGCACACCCTTATCAATGAGATCACCCTCAACCACATCCACATCTCCAGACACAAAGTCACTGTATTGAAACAGAAATCTTTGTCCGTCGATAATGGTCTCCTTGGGCAGATCTGGAACCGAAAGTAGACTGTATCCTCCACTGATACCTTGTTGGTCACGCAGGGAGGTGTACAGATTGTCACCAAGTACAACAACTTTATCCAGGTTGTCGGTCTGCCATGTAAACACGCTGTCAATGTTGTGTTTGGCTATGCCTACCAAACTGACAGCCATGCACTGAAGTCCTGCATATTTAAAGCGTTGATCACCCTGACTGAATGTTCCCCTGACACACCCCATATCCCCATCAATGACTCTAGCCGTCTCCGAATTAACTTCAGCTGCTTTCACAGAAAGTCTTGTAATGCTAAACTTCTGTGCATTCAATGAATTATTGAGATTCCTGATGTAAAACATCAGGTCATTAAGGCATGTGTTGAACACGGCTACAGATGTGCCATAACTGGATGCTAACCCAGACGCAGCACGTGTGCCACAATCAACGACCACAATACAGTCATTGTGTTGAATAATGACACTGGCTGCGGAATTTAGGCTAAACAGACACATGCCATCCCTGGATAAGTGTTCAAGCAGCTTCTCCGACAATACCTGTTCCCCTTCAGACAAATTAAATTCGCCGTACACTGGCAGACCCATATTGACGTTCCACTTACGTCCAAACACACTGGTCTGCTCAACCAACCTGCACAAGTTCTTTGGCTTTACATTCATTTTATGGGCTTCCCCTAATACAAACGAGTTAAGCTTTGACCCTGCAACACGTATGGCATCGATATCTGTACTGCTCCACGAACACACAGGCGCAATCAAATGTTTGATCGCAGCCGCTATAGAACATGCAACAGATATTTTATTGTCAGAAACGGATGCATACCTCACAACAGTCCCTGCGACAACAGCCAGCTGCACTTTTTCTGAACACATGCAAGCATAGCCCTTACCTGTTCTGCATCCGTTGTCCTCATCAACATCCACTATCACGCTGGGTGATGGCTCCTTGCTGGATGATGGCTCCTTGCTGGATGATGGCTCCTTGCTGGATGATGGCTCCTTGCTGGATGATGGCTCCACGCTCAGTGATGGCTCTGCGCGGGGCAATGGCTCCACTCCTGGAAATGGCTCCACTCCTGGAAATGGCTCCACTCCTGGAAATGGCTCCACTCCTGGAAATGGCTCCACCCCTGGAAATGGCTCCACCCCTGGAAATGGCTCCACTCCTGGCAATGGCTCCAACCCCGGCAATGGCTCCTCCTAGAAGAAAATTCATATATAAAAAAACTGCTAAAAACACTATGTGTCTTAAATTGTTTCACAAACGTTTAACTAAATAATAGAAAGATATACAATTACTAATACAAAATGATTATTGTTATATATTAACTTTTGTTTTTCTACTTACCCACACACATACTGAATGGAACTCAAAAGAGAGGTTTCTTGTCATTGATTGTGTACACTTGAAACAACGTTGACTGCATGCAGGCTAACAACTGAAACTATTTTATTTTAACAATGAGCAAAAGTAACTATGTCAATAAATTAGCATGATTCATTCAAATGTCACTCTGAAAGCACATCGTTCACACAAAGAGCACAGACCTGCTGCTCCACAGCAACTGTCCCTCTACTGGTAGGTGGCCGTAAAATCACCTCCACAACAATGGGAGCTGCCTCCCCCTAAAAAAACAAAACAATTTAGTAAACTTGAGAATAAATAACACCACCGATATTCGTGTAACTTCTTAGTTTTAAACAAGTCCTATATTGCCTTTAAAAAAGAAGAAAACAAGAACAACCTGTCGCTTTGCCAGGGTTTTCTTGGAGGCAGGAGCCCTCTGCTTCAGCTCCAACTTTGCTTTCTAACGTAAGGAAAACAAAATGATTAATCCTCCACTAATAACTCCTTATGGACAGTATAAGTTGTCCTCACTGTAATACATTTAAAGTTTGTCAGGAAGGATACATTTTATAATAGGGCATCAACCAACATACAAACAAATTACCTTTTGTGGTGTTGGAACCGGTGATGTGCACTCATCAGGGCCAGGAAGATGGGATGGACTAATCTTGTCCATCTCAACCAACATTGCACTGCTAAACCACACAGGTGTCAGTGGAAGATAACTCTCCTCCACTTCCTGTGAAATAAAAATGAAGAAACACTGTTTTAGAAAAAGAAATGCACATATAAACTGCAATAAACATACCCCAATGATTTCAAAGCATACTACAAAGTTGACCTACCTCCTGCTGAACAGTCCCTGCTTCTTTAAGTGCATCAATGGACTGCTCAGGTTCATCGTGTTGGCTCCTCTGTAAAGATAAATAGCATAGCTTGTGTTAATCAAATGGGTACTCTTCCACCATTATCAAGGCAAACTGCTCAGGGAATATCACTCTTATTGAAAGATGTCTGCCACACAATTACCTTCCTGCCCTGGCCGAAAACGGTCCACTTGGAAGGATCCAGTTGCGGTGATTTGGCAACCTCTCCTTTGACAATCACCCTTGGAGTGACTCTCCTCGCAGGCGGTGATCTTCTGTGGACAACAGGAGATGGCTTCGGCTCGGCTGGAACAAGTTGCATGTATGTTGCGTTCCAGATAGAACCGACCAGGATTGGCATTCCCACACTGTCACTCAAGTGCACCTGCAAAAACAAATACATTTACAAATAGCACATAACCTTCAATATGTTTTTTCAAGAACGGAACTTGGAATTTCAGCTACAAACAAGTATACAGAGAAAACGTTTCCATTTGCCATGTCACTCACGCCATCTCTGCTCCACAGGTCAAGTTCTTTGAAAGGGAAGTACTCAGCAAGCGGTGTGTACTTCACGCCTAAAAAAAACCAACAAGATCAATTACTAACATATCCACACAGATATTATATTTTGCTCTTTTAAAACAAAGAATAATGAAAAATAGGAAAATGATTTACGGTAGTACTTGAACCTAAATATTTGTTAAACATACCCATACGTGCCGCAACACGACGAAATTCCTGACGCATCATGTCTTGGTAGTCAGGGTCAACGGTAAGGCGCGGGGGGAAGTCCATGGCAAAAACCTAATCAAAGTTACAAAGGTACGCTATTTTTCACAATTTGTTGATAAAAATGTCAATTTTTCAGAAATTCATAAACATACAACCACATCAATAAGAATACAAAATGTAATATTATAAGAACTATAATAAATACAATAAAAAATAAGCTTACGTTGGGCCAGCGACTGCGGGCAGTGGCGAGGAGCTTCGCAAAGTCCTCTCCTGCTTCGGTGATGGTCCTACTGGATGTTAGGTTGTTGCTCGGAGCCATCACACAGACTGCATCTGGTGTCCTAGGCAGCACAGCATTGGCTGCCTCGGTTCGCAGCTGGGTTGCGCATGCCCCCGGTGTGGACATGGCACCAAAGGAAAACCTTCCCTCTGGCATCTTCACAATTCCATCGACGATGGAACGGAGATGTGAAGCTCCAACAAGGAGGACAAACTGTAACAACAGAAGACATTATTTCAAATGAAAATCACTAATGATTACCCAGACTTTGTTAACAAAATCTGAAAACAATTCATACTTCCTTGTCTGGAGACTCCGCTGGTATGACCATCTTGTGTTGTCGTCCTGTCAGGGACGAAATTGGCCATTTCTGCACTCTATGGCGGTTACCCGTACCGCCAGCGGCTATTTAAAAACAGAGAAAATGACACCGACATTAAACTTAATGAACCTTTACAATTCTTAAATTATGTAAGCAATAATAACACACCTTCCTACAATAACACCTGTAAACGGGCACGTGCAGAGGATTTTAGAAGGGAAAGGGCTCAAATGCATAAAGGGTCCTACCGGTGATTGAATTTTAAAATGTATATATTTCAAACAAATCCATGTTTCAAACACTGCTTCATGATAGTTATCTAAAAATGAATGCAAAGAAATCAAGTGTATTTCAGTCAATTCTCCTCATCATAACTAGTTTGCTTGCCCACAGAGGGGTGTATCTGTGCACGAGCCTGCCTGTAAAAAATGCACATGCAAAAACATTTTACAATGATACAACCAAAATGGACACCCTAAACATATACAAAATTGAATGACAAAATCCTCGACTACTTACGTGCGAAACTGGCATTGCCAGGCTGCTGATGTCCCACACGTGTCCCAGCCACGCGTAGCTTTGCAGCCTGGGAACGGCGGGACGATTTACCACGTGGCATCTGAAAGTATGTAGGCATTGTTAGAATTAATAAAGACATTAGCAGACCCCTTAAATAGTACAAATAATTACGCAATTACTTATTTCAACTGCAACAAAAGCGTACAAGTCCATTAATAGTTGATGCATCCTGTTCAACAAAAATGTACTTACTGTAACTGCTCACGAGATAAAGCTGGGTGTTGAAGGTAGATGAGTAGCCGGTGAAGTTAAATGGGTAGCTGGTGAAGAAGCTAGATGGGTAGCTAGTGAAGAAGGTAGATGAGAAGGTGGTGAAGGTAGATGGGTAGCTAGTGAAGAAGGTAGATGAGAAGGTGGTGAAGGTAGATAGGTAGCTAGTGAAGAAGGTAGATGAGTAGGTAGATGGGTAGCTGGTCAAGCCGGTAGGTTGTTTAACTAGAACAGAGAAGAAACTAATCAGCATCACAGACATGGAAATATAATTACTTAACACAATGTACAATACAATCGCATAGCTTAGCATACAATAGTTATAAACAAAAAAATTATCAATTGTATTAGAAGCTGCTAATCACTTAGATTTACACTAATAAAGGGCCTATCTGTTTTCATTATACTTTATGCTACTGACAGTGTCTTGGACCACAACTCACCGGTAGAGAACTGCTCAAAGCTGTCAATCTGTGGGGAAAACACAGCATTAAACCCTGCAAAGAAAAGACTGGAAAGTTCCACATATTGTCATGGTATATGTTACTACAAACACTGTCTTTGACCAACACTCACCAGTAATGAACTGCTCAATAGTCGTCACTCTGTGAAAATAAAATTAAAATTAAACCTTGCAAACACAATGCTTGCACACATGGTGATTAAACATTTGGTCCACGTTGTAAATGCTTAAATGCTCTTGCATTTATAAAAACAGGATAATACAATTACCATAATATCATTCTGTGAAAATATGAATTCTGCATAAAGACTACTTTTACTTTTGATATTTGGAGTACATTTAGCTAACAATTGTGCTAATGAGTACTTGTACTAAAGTAGAGGATCTGATTACTTCTTCCAACGTTGAATATAGTATACCTTGAAATATATTTAATTGTTCATAGTTGAATGACTCAAAAAATTACTTTATTTAAGCTATGGAATCATTTAACCAGCTTTCCTTTGTTCATAAATGACAAAAATAAGCTCTTTATTTTAGACATTCTGCTTTAACCAGCTTCACAATTAATTCACAAGAGGAATGATCACTCACCCCAGACAAGATAAGATGAACGAGAGGACAGTCTCTGGTTTAACCAAACTATATATCGAATTTTAAAAAATGAGCGACCAACCACAGCTCTCCTTCTTTAAAATATTTTTGTAATTTCCCTCCAATCGAAATATATAATATTAACATTTGAATGTCAACTGCTTGCTATGCAGACATGTTATGAAAATATCACACATCAAAGGGTCAGGTGCAGAGGTCCCTGAAACAAAGAATGGATTATGGCTGTTGTAGTCTTTACCACCATTGCCATATTTGTAGTCAATTCAATCATAGTTACTTCAGTGTTCAATAGTTTTTTGATTAAAAATATAACTGAGCTATAGTGTGTCTGTGTGTGTCTTAACTGTCATCCATGTCAGCCAGGGGCGCACATAACTGGTACGCAGGTACGCATGCGCGGCAACAATCTGAAATGCTTACCGTAACTTGTGTCACAAAGCAGAGTCGGTCTCTAAAACAGCTGATCACAACGTTCACACGCTCCGCGGTCACGAAGCTCTGCACCCCTCCCCCCCCCCACTACTCAAGTACAATATCTGAGTACTTTTAATCAAGTACAAGATCTGAGTGCTTCTACTTTTACTCAAGTACAAGATCTGAGTACTTCTACTTTTACTCAAGTACAAGATCTATAGCCTACTTATACCACCTCCGTTTATAGCCTATGAAAAAAACTATTAGAAAACGAAGGCTAAAGCTAACGTTAGCAGATAGTGACAATGTATGCTAGTTAGCTAGCTCGACAACGATAATATTGCGACAGAAACACTTTTCAGTGCACATCACGGCAGCAGAGCCTTATTATACATCGATCAGCAGAGCCGACAGGCAGGGAGCACACAGATTGCGCTGCATTATAATATATATACACCATATGTGTCATGATGGGACATAACAGCTCCCGCCCGCCGGGATTACTCCGGGTCCCAGACCCCCCCATACCCCAAAAATATTTTTATTGCAGATCTACATGAAACTTTTGATACTTTAGCAAAATATATTTAGCAAAGAAATGTGCTAATGAGTATTTGTTCTAAAGTAAAGGATCAGATTACTTCTTCCAACCTTGAATAAATAAAGTATGCCTTGAAATATATTTAATTGTTCATAGTTGAATGACTTCAAACATTACTTTATTTAACCTGCTTGTTAATAAATGACATAAATGTGCCCTTATTTTAGAAACAAATCTTAACCAGCTTCACAATGAATTTATAAGAACAGTCACACACTCACCTCAGACAAGATGCAAGAGAGAACCAGTAAAAGTTGAAGTCAATACATATATCAAATGAGCAACCAATCAGAGTTCTCCTTCTTAAAATATGTATTTTCTCCCCTCCAATCAGAATAGTTAATATTTACATTTGAATGTCAACTGCTTGCTATGCAGTGCGCGCATGCGCATTGCTTTCGTCTACGGGGTTTCTGCAGGGTCCCGGCCGTCACTGTCTCTGAGCGGGCGAGCTGCGCTGAGTGAATTTGTCAGACACATCGCTGTGACGTTGGGGATTCTTGGGACATTTGTCTACCTCGTTTGCCTAATCAGGTAAGTGTGTGTTTTACCTAACAAGGAATGTTAACAGTAAAGTGCACTGTACTATTTAAACCAAAAGATAGATACTACCCACCACAGTTAGGTTTGCTAGCTTAGCTACAGATGGCGTTGAATTTATGTTCAAGCACCTGAAGGCGTCTATAATGCATTTAAATGGTGAGATGACCGGTGTTAAAGTAAACCGAGCCAGACATATAACGCTATAACTTTACACACAGCATTGATTGGGATATGACAACGTTGCCACTGTGTTGAAACTTAGCCTTGACTGGCGGAAATGTATGTGTTATACATTTTCGCTGTGAGCCGTGTTCATACGTTTTATACAGAACTTGTGTGTATGTGTGACGATACACGGAACGGGGGGGGGGGCGGCATTGTTGTTCCGCCGTTACACCGGTTATTAACGTCTGTTTATTGGGGTAGCCGGCAGCCGGTGACTCTGACATTGTTGTGTTACAGGTCTTGTTGTTTAGTTGAGGGTAAAACACATCTCAAACTTCGTGACTTTTCCTAAAACGGGTATATTAATCATCGAGTGAATTTTGGGGCTTGGGGAATTAAGAGAGAGAGAAAAAATATATACTTTGCCGCAACACTTGCCGTGTTTAGGTCACGCAGCTCAGTGCTCACCTAAAGCTCAGCCGCTGACGGACCGATGAGCGGAGCAAAACACACGTTTCAAGTTAGACCAAACACACTTAGCTATTTTATCTACCTTTGGAACTAGCTAAACTAGTTATACATTTTATGCACAATACACTTTGTGTAAGATTTAATTTTGAGCCCAGAGATGCCGTGCTGTTGATTTGCAATTATAACTTCCACAAGCTGAATGGTAAGACTCAGTAGATTGGTGCTAAAGTTAGAATCAGTGGATATGTATTTTGTTGTTTAGTTTTCCATAGCACTCATTCATGCATATTTTACTTTTCCTCAGGACACTGACCATGAAGAACGATTGCTCAGAGGTGTGTCTGTGGCCATCCTCACCGTCATTGAAGATGATGATGCCGCCATATCGCCAAATGTGCGAGACGTGGCTGTTGTGTTGGAAGGGACCATTGTACTGCATGACCTACCAGACCTCTCGACTGCCTTTGCATACCTCTTTGGCCTACTTTATGCAATGAACATGGATTTTCCAAAGGAGATGAGGTATACCTTTGAAGCCATTCAGACTATCTTTTAAGAGCTTGGCTCTCGACGCTCGCAGCGCATAAGCTCTCGGAAAACAAAGCTTTTGCTGTGAATGTTAATGGGGAAGCCAGACATGACTTTAACCTATGTTTCGCCTGTTCTAGTGCATTGTGGTTAGTGCTCATGTAAAACCTCACAGCATTCATTTCATTTGAAGCATATAAGTTCCCTTCTGAAATAGAGAATCAAAGAATGTGTGGATGTGTAAGTTGCCAGTTCAAAAGAGGGGCATATCCAGTATTTCTACTGTTCAAGTTCATTGTTAGTGATCAGGTAAAACTTCAATGTATGTACTTGCACATGCAGTCATTTTAAGCATGAAGTCCCATTTGCCTGTGAAATTGAAATGTGTGGAATTGTGAGTTGCCAGTTGACAAGAGGCACTGGATTGTAATTGTTATATTTGTTTATTCTTAAATTCTTTGATTGTGATGTGCTGAAGAGGCTGAGGCCTGATATATCACAATGATGCCAGGTGTGTGAATCCTATTTTGACCTGATGGATAAAAGCAGAAGCAGAAACCATCCTCAGAATCTGTGTTCAAAGGCCATCGTCATTTTCTGTTTAAAGCAGCTTTGCTAGATGTTTATTATGTCAAGAAATGTCCTTAACTTGTGTTATGTTGCAAAACGTGCATTTTTTCAAATCCATATATTCAGCATGTGAAGAATGCATGTTATCAACGTCTAGCAAAGCTGCTTTAAACAGAACATGATGATGGCATGGGGTCTGCGAGACAGCGAGACACAGAGGAACTCAGCCTGAGCACACACACACACAGCTGGGCTGGGCGAGTCGGCTGACAGCTTCCATACAGCGCTGCATAGACAGGTATTTTCTGTGTTAGAGTTTTACTCGCTACAGGGTGTACTTTGAGGGTTTGTGACTCTGCAGACCGTTTACATGCAGAGAAACCTACATAACACACAAGGGGATGGGTAATAACCAGAAAAGCATATGATAAGACCTTTAAAAGAGAGAATGTTTTGTGTGCTAAAGTAGACAAAAAATGTACAAAATGTTCATATAATTGAATTAAATCGTAATAATCAACTGAATAAATAATGGCTCTTTTTTTGTTAGTTCATTTTCAATCTCTGACATCAATGTTGATTGAAATCTTCAGCGTGACAATATCTCAATGTTGATTCAATTACTTTTTGCTATCTGGGGTGTCTGTGTGTGTCTTAACTGTCAGCCATGTTGTTGTCATCTAACCAATGAAAGCAAATAAATATATATATATATATAGAAATATACAGGGTTCCCGCGGGGTCTTAAAAAGCCTTACATTTTATAATCTGAATTTAAGGCCTTAAAAAGGTCTTAAATATGACCAAAAAAATAAGAAAGGTCTTAAATATGATTTAGAAGGTCTTAAAAATGATGGGATTTGAAAGGTACTTCTGTGTTGCGATAGCGTCTAAATGTGTTTTGGGGGAAATGTCCGGGCTGCAAAGTAACCAGTACGGTAAGAGCCTTTCAGTTCCCCCCAACAATTTGTATTGAAATAAATCAACATGGAACCAGTAATCACTAACTTTGTTTCCCCCGGCCCCTTATTGGAGAACACCCAGCTAGTAACCTAGCAAGCAAGCTTCAGCTAGCGACAGTCAGAAACTCATGTATCTTCAAATCAAATAAATATGGGGAAGTGTAAGTTCAACCGTATTTGGTTGGAAAACATCGAATTTAGTGCTTGGTTGAAACCAGTGGAGGGGAACGTGTTTGAAGCCCGCTGCACCTTTTGAAAAATAAATTAGCGTTTGT